AGGTAGCAAAATCAGGTATTGTATTTAGATAAAACTGTGATTAAAAAAAGTATCTCTACTAAAGAAGAAACTTCTGGGAAACAGGATATATCTAAATTTTTAAAATCCCCAGTATGACATTATTAAAAATATTTATAACCTTGAAAAGTTTGAGATTCTATTATGAAAACGTTTTAAAAATTTTCCTCATCGTGATATTTTACTGTGACAAAGTTGACATGGTGCTTTTGAGTCCTCCTCTTAAAGAATTGTCAAAAAGTATCTTTTGAAAAAGATTTATGAATTAAGTGGAAATAAATCCATTTTAGTGCTATACATGCTAGTTCATTACTTGGTATAAAACCAGAATGATCATGACAATCATTCTTGTTTACATTTTCAAAAACTCTTAACAGTTCTCTTTATTTATTTCCAAATTTGTTTCTACAAATAAAATTAATATCTATAGGCAACATAACAGATTTTTATGTAGTACAAAATTATTGTATATTTAAAGTTCAACTCATGGTTGTATTTTCAGTATATAAATATTTGAAAGAAAATTTTTCCCCTCTAATTTCCAACCTGAAAGCTTTCTGGCATTTGAAAGAGAATACTAAATTGTGACAATATTTCCGGATGACATACCTTGCTCATGCTGCTGGTGTGGTTACATGAAGGCACGCAATGGTGACCTATGCAAACACATGATTTACAGATTAAACAAAAGATCCAGGACGCCAGACGTGGCAAAGTAGGCAGGGGACTATTTAGACTTCATAAGCAGAAAATTTAGTCAAAGTCAGATATCTATTTTGGTTTCTTACTGAGACCAAAGAAAATCTTCAGCACATCCCTATTTGAAGATACAGTGCATTATTATTTTTATTTCTAAAGATTTCATTTTCCTTTTTATTCAGTAGCTCTTGAATCCCAAAGGTGTTAATTCAAAGTAGTTCTGACTAGAATCTAGCATCTTGTTTAGTCGTTAAATGATTAACAGAAATCTTATTTTTCAAATTGTATTTATAAGTTTTAAAATATGTAAAGATTCAGAGTGAAATAAAACTTTCACCACATGTATTTTGTTTTGTATACAGAGGACACAGTAACCTGCCCTTATATCCGGGAACATGCTCCAAAACCCCCAGCAGAAACCTGAAACTGTGGATGGCACCAAATGCTGTAATTTATTTCAATGCCTTTTCCATCTTAACTAACCACTTATCGAGAACTGACTGTGGCCATAACTTTTGCAGTCTGAGGTGTGACAGCGAAACTACCACACATTTCTTTTTCTTTCTTCACAGTTTCACAGATAGAATTCTTGTTGTTACTGTAAATCTTACAATCTCAGCACAGGATTATTTTCTCCCCTTATTAACCAAGAACTTCCACCTTTTCCCATAAAGGATGTACTTTCCACTTCCCTGTGTTATATCTGAATTGCCAGAAACAGAGCTGGAGCTCTGGGGGCACTGGCTATTGCAATGAGTTATATTCCAACCAACTGAGGGCTGGGTAGCAAATGCAGTGTGGGAATGATGGACAAAGGCTGATCCCCCCTTCCCAAGTAGGAGGGAACAGGATGGTATGAGCCTTACAACTGTGAACAATTTAAAACTCCTGAATTCCTTATTTCTGAAACTCTGCATTTTATATTGATGAGCTGTAGTTAACTGAAGGTAACTGAAATTGAGGAAAGTAAAACTTTGAGCAATGAGAGAATACTCAGTCAAGTCAACTTGTGACTATGTGGTAGACTGGGATATGCGAACCTTTTGTTGTTGTTTTTTGGTACTGGGGATCACTCTCATGACCTTGCACTTGCCAAGCAGGCACTTCTGCCACTGAGCTAAAATCCCTGGTACATGAACTTTTATTTGCTTTTCAGAACATGTCAAAATGTAAGCACTTATGCAAATTATCATTTCTTAACCAGGAAGTAATGGTATTAGGTTATTAAAATATGTCACCAAATTAAATATTTGATATATAAACTATACAATCTATTAAGTAGCTTTATAAACAGTGTATTACTTTCAACTTGATTTTCAAACTCATCATTTTGTGTGACTTCTGTGTACCGTTACTCCATACACAAACTGTACACATTCTTAGTAATTTAAGTGCCAACTTTACATTGAAATTCAATGGTAGAGGAATATTGATGACTTTAAATACTTAATAGTTAAAATAAGTTACATTCAAGTTATACAATATGTAACAAAGAAAAAATCTATAAAGCTACTACTCTGTTAAAATCATATAATTTTATTCTTAATATTTATATACTTTTAAAATATATTTTAAGATACTGAATCTTTATAGTAGTCTGAAGAAGTATTCTTACATTATACAGATAAATAAAATATAGCATATTTTAACAGAGGTAAGGAGATCATCATTCATCACTGCACGGGTAATCTCATTTGGCTTCCACATGACCATTATGTATCGCCAATCAATCAACCAACCAAAAACCTGATAGAGAATGAACTGAGAACCTGATCATAAAAGCACTGAAAATTACCACTAACTAAGGCAGAAATGAATATGCTTCTGTTTTTTTTTTTTTTCCCATTCTAATTTTGGGATTGAAGTGCAGTATTGTGACATTATAGTACTTCCTTAATATCTAAGAAGAACTGATTTCTGGACGCCAGCCGATATAAGATCTGTGACTTTGGAGTCATTTTATAAAATAGTGTACATAAAATTTGTGTGTAGCCTATACACGGCTCCTGTATACTTTAGATTACTTGCAACAATTCATATAATGCAAAGGTTATGTAAATAGCTGTCACACACTGTTGCTTCCAGTGTAATTACAAGGAAAAATGTTACTACATATTCGGTACAGATGATATTTTATTTTTTTAAAGAGCTGCTTGAATGAATGTATGTAAACAGAATCCATTAAGGCAGAACCCACACTTGAGGAGTTCCAAGTATGATCCTAAATGGGTGTGGGTTCACTTGAAATCTTCCACCTGTGTTTGACTGGAAGCCTCCTCAAAGATACTTTTCACCTATAGTCATCAAAATGACAAAAAATATGAAGATGGTTCCAGTTGGTTTTGATTACTTGCCAACAATAAAACTTTGTCAGTGAAAATGACAGCTAAAGTTTTAATTCTGCATTTATTTAAATGAATTTCATCACTACTTTTTTGTGGAAATGTGTTTCAGAAATTTCATTTCTTACTTTAGATTATAACTGTTATGCTCAAATTAAAATTTGTTCAAATATGTCTTTTTCCCTAAATGTGCTGTGCATTTTTTCTCCTGGTCTAATGGACAGTACAAAGTAGAAGAGAAAAGCTATGGAGATAATTCTCTCTCAATTCCCCTTCCCCAAAACAAAACAAAACAAACCTCAAAAGTAAGCAAAAATGTTCATATTAAACTGTTAGTACAGTTATATCATAATACATTTCACAGCTCAATGAATTTTATTTTTTTGAACAATGTCGTTTTTTGATATTTTAATTAAGTTACATTGTATTTCTATGGGTATATATGCTAAATTTTCTTGTTTCAGTGATGTTATTACAATGAGATTGTGGTAAATCATCCATTTCTATTGAGGAAATACTCTTGTAATTATATCCTATGTAAAGATTTTTCTTTAAATTTTAATGAAATAAGTAAAGATAAAAATATTGCTTCTGTTTTAGTGGAGTTTCTGTCAAAGAAATCTAGATTTATACTGAATTAATTTATAAGTTTTCCTTTTTAAATTTTATTTCTTCATTCATCCTCAAATAATATTAATTTTTCTAAATAACAATGATTCGTGAGTAGAGTACTCATTACTGTGATGACACTGCAGTTTCTTTGAATTCTCTTTGAAACAACTCTGAAAAATGGGTTTATTGCCCTGTTTTACTTTCACTATTCAGAATTCATCTTTTTTGATATCCTGCTGTTATATTCAGTCAAGTGAATTAAAAGATCTGAAATCAAGTGAAAGAAATTTGGGGGGAAGATATCAAAGAGATGCTGACTTTATTTACCACAATACTTTTAATTTCATGTGATATCAAACAATGATCATATGCGTTATAAAGCCTAATATTTTTTTGCCTAATTTTAATTTTGGTATACTTCTTAGTGTTTGCTTTTCTTCAGTGTGTCCTAGAAGGTCAACAAAATACAGTAAATACTTCTGCAGTGTGAACCCTTCTGTGACAGACATAATTAACTTAAATTAAAGTTTACTGGGATTAATGCTTATTCCAACAAAATCCAAATGCGTATTAGAGAATCTTTTCATGAAAATTAATGATATATACATTTACCTGAATTGACTATTTTGGCACTCATCATTTATCATTATTTTTCTATTTTATTTAAACTTCCTTCCTCAAACGTAAGAATCACGCATATATACAAATGCATTATGGTACACTCAGAGATTTCTTATACTGAAAAACAAATATGAATACTGTTTCCAGCATTGTAAAACTATAATTCATATTATATACACAGGCATACTAATTTAGAGAGAATAGTACCAATATGATCTCATGAAAATAGGATGGGGTTCCACAAAGCATAACTACAGAAAGCGCTCCATGTTTCATTTTTAAATATGGAGACTTCACAGTACAGACTAGGAGCTTTCACATATATATATATTATATCAGTTGTTCACCAAAACTCACTTAAAATGCAGTGCTGTTAGCTTTCTCAGTAATTCAGGTCCTGGCAGATTCTTTTGTATACTCAACAGTGCTGTATACTCAACAGTGCTTGAATGTGCTGTCCTTATGAATTATTTTCTACTCATGAGCCTAATAAATGCACATTTAATATCTAACAAAACACTTGAAAGCAATGGTAAAGTTGGTAAAATTTCCGAGCCTTAAGAAACTGCATCATGCAACCATGTTAAAAATAGTGTTTTATTAATAACCTTAAATGCCATAAAAACAAAATTTTTCAAGTGATAAGGTGGGTCATGAAAGGGTAGGAAGTGTGGGAGGAGAAACGAGTGCACAGCACTTTGTCTGTACCTTGAGGCAGTGACTGGACGGGAAGTGCCGGCTGGCCCGGTGGGATGGAGATCAGTCCCTGGCGCTGGAGGCTAAGCAGATGCTGCTGCTGCTGCAGTTGCTGCATCTGGAGGAGCTGCTGCTGGAAGACAAGCTGCTGGGCCGCCAACTGCTGCTGCTGCTGCTGCTGTTGCTGCTGCTGCTGCTGTTGCTGCTGCTGGTGTCAGAGAACCCAGTTCAGTGATCAGTGGAGACCATGGCCCACACACACTACTCAGAGAGAAATGCAGCCCTGACAGGTTTTTGGTCACTCTAGGGTCAAAGTTCAGGAGCAGAATGAGCAGATATGTGATTTTCAGCTGCCTTTTCCTCAAATACTAAAAACAACACAGATGCATCGAACATGTGTTAAAGGAACAACGTCTAGGGATAGCACATAACAAACTCAGCTTTTTTAAAAAAACAGTTTATTACAGATAATCATTTATCCTGACAACAAAGAATAACACTTTATAGAAACTGTCAACTGCCACAATACTCTTATTTTTTGTTTTCCAACTGAGTATGTTTGACCTGTGGAGGTCCACGAATGTGGTCTCTAGTGATCTATTAGTAAACTGGGAAGCAGCCTTCACAGGACAGGCCAGTTCGCTCTCTGCCTCTTTCTCTCTTCTCTGTTTGGAATATATTAAAGGCAGAATTATGTACAAGGCAAAAAAAAGTGGCCTTGTTATCAGGAAAAGTATAACTTCCAATTTTGTGAGGCATTACAAGACAAACCGGAGTTCTTTGGACTCGGGAGGGTATGAGATGGCAGTCACACTTCAGAGGAAGACAAGCTGCTGTGGAAGACCTTTCCTTTTTAGTTTGGGGAAAAGAGAAACTTCTGATGCGCTCACTGGAAAACAGACTGCATAATGGAGCAAGTCATGTGGATTGCCCAAAGCCTCCGGAGAAATAAGGGAGCAATTTCTATTCTGTAGTTGATGGCTGTCTGAAATTCTATTCACAAATCCAAACAGAAACAAAGCCTCAGGAGGTCAAAACTGTTTCCTGTACGTTTGCATAATGGGCAGCTTGAAGACAACAGCTCTGATACCTGCTGATCAATTTAACTACTTCAACATGTTTTGTTTGTATTATGTTTATATTTGATGCGGTTTGCTGACAAGTGCAAGCTAGGCCTGAGAAGCCAGCTTGTCAGTTTGATTTATGAGCATATCAAACTGTAACTTTCTACTAGCCACTCCAAACCTACAGTAGCAGTTCATTAATCAGGGGCCTGTGACTTTGAAATCTGTGCTCCACCAGCTTTCCCCTGGCCTCCCCATATCCAACAATGGGCTAAATTTGCATGCATGTTCTCTGAGCTGCATCACTGAGAAAAATAAGGTTCCCTCACCAACTTAGGTTCTCAGTGAATACAAGATAATCAGAAGTTTGTCCACTATCCAGATTGCCCTTTGTACAATTCATTAGGGAACGTAAGACCATAGCAGCACTGGATTGTGATTCTCAAGTCCCATGCTATGAAAAAAAGGAGAGTGTGAGAGTTCCACTGTCACTGTTACTAAGCTCAGCAAAAGTATATAATGTTACATCTTTGACAGCAAGAGCCTTGTTACAGGAAGATCTTAGACTATCCTCTCCATGCTCCCTCTCCTTCCCCTACTACCACTTTTCAGTGAAATAACCAGCTCCTACCTCCTTTGCTTGCTTTCCAGGATGCTGCTGCTGCTGCTGCTGCTGCTGTTGCTGCTGCTGCTGCTGCTGCTGTTGCTGCTGCTGCTGTTGCTGCTGCTGTTGCTGCTGCTGCTGCTGTTGCTGCTGCTGCTGTTGCTGCTGCTGCAAAAGCTGAAGATGTAACTGCTCTTGCTGTTTCTTGTAAAACTCTTGTAGTTGTTGCTGAATAAACCATTTTGACTTTAATAAATAAAGGCAAAAGTTTCATGTATTATATATCTCCTAAACTCTTCTAGATTGGCACATGGTAGAGTAGCCATTAACATTTACGTCACAAAAGGGACCAAAAAGATACGCATTGGACTCAAAGAGACAGCTCTACAAACACCACCCCCCCAAGATAGAGCTGAAAATTTCCAATCCAGAATCCAAAAACTCCTAAACAAAAAGGTATAGAAAAATCTGTAAAGGACCAGTGTCAAATTAATAACCTAAAATATCATGCTTGAAGTCCTACTAGCATATAAAGTTCTGTTCTTATCACTCATATGAATCAAGTTAGTTCCATAAAATTAAGATGTTCAATACCGAAAGGGTAATTTAATGTCAGATATTTGGAATAATGTCAGACTTACAGGTATAACTAACCTGCAGTGATCATCAGAAATGATACCAGAGTAACAGTAAAAATTGCACCTAAAACACATTACTTTCCCCATTGTAAATAAGTATATAATACAAAGGTTTTTTTATGTATTCAAGGCTCCAATAAGATGTATATTATGAACACAATTTTTATTATTTTTGAAAGAAACATCTTATGAATTTGTAGCTTAACTACAACTAATTTTATTCCAATAAGTACATTATTCTTTTACTAGATGATAGCATATTTTCAGAGAGGGGAAATTTAAGATGCTACTTCTTCATGTTAAAATTGACAATTATACTTCATATATACGTGAAGTTAAAGGAGAGCTAAAGAATTAGGACTTTTAAAGAAAACAACAGTGTGATAAGTTTCTTTGTATTTTTGCTGGTAAATCTAATAGTCAAATGTATTCAAGTATTCAGACATTTAAATACTGATTCATCTCTATTTTTCAAATTATATGTCTTTCTGCTCTTATTTTAGACTTTGATAAATTTAAAAAGAATAAGGCATATGCATTTCCTTATACAGTACTACAATTATGATTAAGATGTTCTATTTATGGTCTACCATGCTGATATATTATCCTCCTAGGTAGAGACTGAACTGTAAAAAAGCACATTGCACTGTAGACAGGAGTGCACATCTTCAGGGTCAGGCTAGAACACCAAAGCAGGTAACCCACATTACCTGTTGCAGCATGACTGCCTGCTGCTGCTGCAGAAGGGCTTGGAGCTGCTGAGGAGACAGCACTTGCTGCTGAAGGATCTGCTGCATTTGCTGAGGGGTAATCACCTGGGGAGTCATCATGGCCACTGACACAGGCACCTAGCACACAGAGAGACAGGAAAAGCGGTGAGTTGGTCAAGGGTCTGTTAATGTACTTCCCAACTGTTCAAAAGCCCTTAGCCCATAGAATCAATAATTTAGTATATTCACATTATTCAATGGCATAATAAAAATATTAAATTAGCACAGTATTTAGACATTAGTTTTTAAGCAGTGTCAAATTTTCTCAGATACCAAGATAACAACTCATACCACTTCATACCCTTTGTGGGGATGTTTGAGCTTGTTGCGAGTATAGTTAAAAACGACTTCATGGCAGTATTAATACTTTATAAGTAATCAGCTATAAGCACACAGATTTGGAAACCTTTAAAGGCGTGATTAAAGTGGAGAATAAACGTTAAGTGATAAGGAAGTAATATGCATATATATACTCACACACAAATATATATCATGTACTACAAGAAAACACATATAGTGATACAGCACATGCAATAACCCATATAGAAGTTTTTCTGGATATATATATGTATAGATGAAAAATGGATATCTAAAGAGCTCTTGTGAAAGAAGGAATCATAGGCTTAGTATTTCAGTCTCTCTTTTAAACTTCTTATTTCAAGCAACTAAACTTATATCAGAAAGTCCAGAGGTTTAGAGTCTACTCAAAGGTTATTCATTAAACTGGAGACAATTTTTGTCTAAAATCTCTTTTTCTTCATTTTCTTTTTCTTAAAAGTTTCTTAGAATGAGAAGCAAAGAAAAATGGAGACCGTGAAAGACAGAGGAAAAGGGAGGAAAATACATAAAAGAAAGCTCCTGAAACATGACTCCCCAGAAAGAAAAGGTGAGGAAGGTAGGTAAAGTATGGCGAGAGAAACAAACAGGAAAGTTATTGATATGTACCCAGCTCAGTTCGGGGCTGGCTGCCCTGCATGAAAGCATTGTTTGTAGTAACCAGCACAGAGTCAAACAGCTTGTCAACTTGCCAAGTTTGCAACCTTTGAAAATGCAATCACTTTCTTTCCCAGAAAAAACAATTCATGTTTACTATAAATAAAAGCAAGTATTTATGTAAATAACTGCTTTAGAACAGATTTATAGTTCACTGTGTCTTTGAAAATAGGAAAAAGATTAATAGAGATGGCTCACTATTTTAATAGTAATTTTTAATGCAGTCCAAACTTTTACCATTTGGCACTGTATGCTATAAAGAAAGAAGAAATTAATGTTACAAAGGAACAAGGAAGAGGGGGGAAAAAAGAAAACTAGGGTGCGTTAATTTTTTTTTCTCAAAATAAAGTAAAAACCAAATAAAAACCTTCATATTTAACACTGACAGATAGCTATGACTTTTCTTTTTCCCAGGTTGGCATTTTGAAATACAGATTAGATGTAAATTTGTAACATGTGAAAAAACAGGCAAAATAATTCAGTGACTTTCAAAACTATTTCTAGATTTTAGAAGACTCTATGGACACACATTAAATCACTATATTTCAATGTCCTAATAAAAAGCAGTCTGCAATGTATGTTGTAACATTGATTGTCCCTGGTTGCCGAAGTGTCTGGTTGTTTTAAAAAGTTCATTACTTCATTACTTCTTCTTTCATAAAAATAGAATATGTAGAACAAGCAGTTTGGGGGAATACCTTACTTATCAACTGATGTACCTTTTCCCCCCAATAATTATGTAACTCATACTGTCTTCAAATAATAAGGAATCAAGTTGAAATGAAGGAACAGACAAAGATAAACATGTTAACATTTTAAAAGTTGTCAATTTAGATCAATTATATGGATACAAATATATACAGATTTACATGGAACTACATCCATATATATGCATATGATCATTTAAAGCATGTGTTTCTATAATTAATGCTTTCATTATCTCTGCATTTGGAAATAAATGTATTTGATGTATAAAATGATCATTAATAAATATAGCCAAACTTCTATTTCATGTTTCTCTGTGCTTGGAGCTATCCATAATACACAGAAAACTTATAGTACAATTCCCATCAATACATATGATATGAATCTATTACAGTTTAACGCTATTACAACTGATAAGGTTTCTCTGCAAAGTTATATAACTTTCCTACCTTTAAGTCCATTAGCTTTCTTACCATGTAATCTATTACCCTTTTATTATGTATTTAGATTAACTGTTTAGTCTTAAAATGATTTGTAAGCACCTTAAAAAATGATAATAACAACATAAATGTGACTACTACATTTTGATCATTTTAACATCATATTTATTTAGTATTCACATGTATGTCAAGTTCTGCAAAATTTAAGCAGATTTCGGCTATTCTTCTAGAAAACTCATCTAAAAGTGACATACAAGCATGTAGAAAGATAAACCAACTAACACACAACTAATAGAACTCTCTAATTTCATAAGAAATTTACAAAAAATACAAAAATCATTGTATTTTAGGAAAGCACAGGTTCACTTCGGTTTAAAAAAAAAAAAACTCTGCAAACATAAACTGCAAACATAGCACATCCATAAAAAACAAAGGCAAAAAATAATTTGAGGTTACAAAAAAATGGAAATTGTTTAATAAGTAGAAAGTTAGTTTTTTCCTCCAGTAAATGCTAGTTACATGTTTGTTTGTTTTTTACTGGTACCAGGGATCAAACTCATGACTGCGCACTTCCAAGGCAGGTGCTTATGCCGCTGAGCTAAATCCCCAGCCCTAACTACATGTTATATGTACACTGTTCCACTTGTCTTTTTTTGGCAATTAATTTTCAAACAGTAGAGTTCCATTTTTTAGTGATTCAATTTCTTTCTCTTTTGTTACTGCCCCATCATTTCTTTGTTACCATGAACTACTCTGCGATGAGAATGATAAAAATAGTTATGAGTACATACCAAACAATTCATAGTGAACCCTTTCTATCAATATTTAGATACAAGCATTAGATTTTTAAAAAATATATGGCTAACTTTCTGAAACACACCTACAATATTTAGTAGAATATTAAAATTCAGAAAGTATTTTCCATTAGTTATATAATTCCATTCATGCAAATATTCCAATGAGCTATGAATATTTAAATGTGAAATGAGGGACAGAAGAAGAATTTATCTTAGAAAAGTTCTGGTAAGGAGGCAAAGGAAAATGTAGCGGGTCTATCATTAGATGAGTCCAAAAGAACAGGAGACTTTGAATAGGTATCTGAGTAAATACTATAGTGTTAGCCGTCAGAATCTTCTGGGGTAACAGAAAGATATATAACCGGTTTTAATGGGAGATTTCTTTTTTCCCTCCTTATATTTATTATATAAGCAGGCAAAAAAATACCTGGAATGGTACATTGAGCAATGTTTTTATTTATCTTTATTTATTTTGTCATATGAATTAAACAAACTTTATTGTGTTTTTTAATGTACCAAATAGGACTGAGTACATAAACAGAAAGATAGTGTAATGCATTCTGAAATAAGAAGGGAAATATTCTGGAACTGTTTTGAAAAGTGTCAGACAAGCAAAATCAAAAGCAAAAAAAAAAAAAGGCATTATCCTAAAATTGGTAGGTGATAACTTTAGCTTTTATCAGCATACAGTAAACACACATATTAAAGATATTTATGCTGTAATTCTATGTGAACCTAACTGAAGGGGTCAGAAAAGTTATTACAAGACAAAGCAGAGATCAAACCTCTGCACAAATGAATCTAAAGAATGAGTGTAGAAGTGTATAAATAGAACATAACTTTTATTTGGCATAAAGACTCTATCTTTTAACCATCCTGTTCAGTTCAAGTATCTCTGAAAGTGTCGTGTATGCATATTAAGTATGTCACTTAATTAAATATCCCAATTATGTATGGGTGAGTGAAAACAGTCTTAACATAGTCTCAGTTCTAGTCTTTCTTAACTAAATGTGAACTGGAAAAAGCACTCACAACCTGTACATGAGATTTACAATGGAAAACATGCGTCCCTGTTAATGTGGTCTGATTAGTACTGTTTCACAAATCGCTTTATGATTTGTTTAAAATCTGAAAACAAAGTAAGCCATTGCCTCCTTGACTTGGTACTTAAAAAAAAAAGTAAATCAGGATCAATTACTTGTGTGATATAAGAAACAGTAACTCAGAATTAATTATTATGTGATTAATAGAAAATGGATATTTATGATATAATATCTACTCCCATTTTAATAAACTATGGATAGAAATTAATCTGTATCTTTTATATAAGTTCCTTCTGTTCCCATCTTTCTTCATATGTATTTATTTTAACAGAAAAAAATTACTGTATGGAATTGCCAAACAGGTGCAAATTCAATCTCTGCTCACGTAAATAATGTCTATAATAATAGTAACCTTTCAAAAGTTTACTATTTTACAATATTAGAAAGAACTGACCATAAATTGAATATTGTTTGTAAGCTTTTCATTAATTACAGAAAAGGAGTCTTTAAAGACATTCAGAATGGATGATGTATGTTGCTATTTATTGCAATCCGTTAGCAGCAGGGAAATAGGATGACAAGAGCAGAGAGAACAGCATAAAGACATAACAGATATGGAGAGACATTTGTCAGTCTTTACTGCTTAGTCTGTAATATTATTTTAAGTTAATATTATTTTAACTTACAGCTAAGTTTCTAATATTATTTAGGTTTTAATATTAGCTTTAATTTAACATTTGCTAGTCTTATAAAGCAAAGTGTTTTTTTGTTTGTTTGTTTGTTTGTAGAGGTAGAGTTTGTCCAACTTTTCTCTCCTCTTAGCTAACCAAAAATATTTCAGAAAAGATTCCAGTCTTTTGTTTGTACTATTGGTGAAAATTAGGCTGTTCATATATGCATGTCATTGTAGAGATTATGGAGAAGTGATATATAATATGCTACACCGTATGCTTAAAGGCCAAAAATGCAACTTCTAATCTCACTCTGGCTAATCAAGCTGTTCAGATTATTTTACATACATCTTTGGTTTAGGCCTTGACATGCCCTTGTTTTTCTTTCTTCTCAAAGCTAAAGTTCCCTCTTTGATTAGCTGAAACATT